TCCCGACGCACTCGAAACCCACTGTTGTTTCGACGAGCGGGCCCTCTCATTTTTATCGTCGGACTCTCCACCGGACACTGCGGGGTTTCGGGACACCGCGGGAGCTTAGGGTCTAAGATCCGACCGGCGTGGCCTGGACCTCGCTCTCGCTCTCGGTCCCCGGCCGAGTCGATGAAGTCGCTTTGCTCTCGGTTTCAACCGGACACGATTGATGCCGTTGTTGCCTCTTGGCGCGAACGATTCGATCGTGACGATTGAGATGCTGTCGATGCGCTTTGGGCTCGGTCGAGTCGCTCGCTTCTAATTTGCATAAGACGGGACTCCGATCGTGGAACTTGCAACGGAACCTTTAGCAAGTTAGATAGGATCGCGAACGATGCTCCTTCTCTTGCGTGGAATATTTTCGAAAAAATCACTCGGTCCCTTCCCTTTAAGACTTTAGACATCTCGCGTCTCGTCGGTCAGGTTCTCGGAACAAGGAGAGCGAAGAAAGTGTCGGCGGTGGTTTCGAATGGGAAATTGATGTACGGGTAACGGCGAGATACTCGCGTCTGCCGCGAACCGATTCCTCCCGTTCCTGGAATCAACGTCGGCGAGTACGATCGTCAGGATGCGAGAAGCGCGAGAGACACCGGGATGCCCATTAATCGTAATTCCATCGATTCGCAGCACGCTGCAAGGGTGTTCCCACAGTATCCGCGTGTACTTGCAAGATAAGTGGTCGATTATCGTCTCTCCTGGGTCTTCGGCGATGCCACTAAAAACTGCGTCCCCGTTGGCGGTAGATAGTGTTGTCTCAGTTAGTACGCCGCGACACGATCATTTTACAACTGGGCTACTATATTGGTAATGGGTCGGTTTATCTGCGGCTGGTACTGGTCGCCCGTGCGGGATACGCTGCTCTCTCCCGCCGCCGTCTCTCGTATACACCTGCATTTTTGCACATCGGTATCTTTATGGTGGCATAAAACGGGTTTACCGGGCAATTTAAATGCCGTTCCCCGCATTAACGTCGCGTCGTAATACATTTTTGTAATTCTAAAATTAGACGTTCGCTCGCGCCCCGCGGGGGATAATGCGCGGCGACAAATTAATCCCGGGCAGCCGATTGTCTGGGCAGCGCTCGTTTCGAGTCCACCTCCGCGCCGGGATTCAATTAGCGGGTTCTGGTTCCGTAGCACGCGCGGCATTAGCGAGAGCTGCCTCAGCGCCGCGAATTCGCTTTTCTAATGGACTATAAAAGTACACCGTAAACTGTATCAAGGGTAAGCATCGCGGAGATACGGACGAACGGCCGGCCACGGTTGACGTCTCGATTCAATTGATCGCTCCCACGTCTTAAAGGATCTTAATTGCTAGACATCGTAAAACGCCAACGGAACCGTTAACGAGCTTTCGATAGAAAGAACGTGTATACGTCCGTTTGCACCGTGACCCGACTGCCTCCAAGTTTTCTTCTCCGAGGATACGCGCGTGTGTTGTAGATAGCTGCGAGGACACGAAACCGATGTCACCGTCGAAAAAGGACCAGCCAGAGATCTCTGACCCACAAAGCTGCTTTGAATAGCAGTTTTAGAAAGTCCCGCAGTCACAGTTTGCCCCGATACAGCAAATCTGTGGAGTTTGATATTTAATCTATGCGATCTTTAAACCCTTTGCGGACGAAGGTTCTTCAAAGTGGACCAAACCTGCAGATTCTGTCAAATTACACATCGAATGTTAAACTGATTAGAGAATACGTGCAAACGATTAAGCAGACAATTCTATAAAGGCACGATTCAGTTGTATAACAGGACAACAGGAACTTCCGACCGAGGCAAAATTAAAATATCATACCGCGATTTCCCGTGGAGAGTCCCGTTTTCGGGGGACCAGCGTCGGAAGGCGCCGTCGCAAGAACGAGGCGAAGAGGGGAGAGCAGAAGAGGACACCGTCCGGTGTCCGCATAACTCTGCGGAATCTATCGCGAGGGGCGAGGGGGCTGGAGGGCCACAACCCTTTGAAGGTTTATGCCGATTCAGGAACGAGTTGATTCATGAAGACGGGATGGACCTCCTTGGGATCCGCGGCTCGGTGCCCCCAAGGCCGTGGCGGGTGGTCCCGCGGCTTGATTTCTTGTTTCCTCCACCACGACCGATCTCTGGCCTGTGTCGTTCCGCCTCTGTCCCTCCCGGCCGGGGCCCGGGGGCCGCGAGCGGGACAGACCGAGCCGTGGGGCGATCCTGCGAGGCCGTGGGACAGCGACAGAGCCATGGGGAACGGGGACCGTGAGCCGGAGCGGGCAAAGAAGGGAACGCTCCGGCATTCCCCCGCTGTCCGTATACCTATAGCGATTGTCGATTTAAATGTTTACTAATAACCAGGCTTGTCCCGCAACCACCCAGAAGTCGGCCGCTTTGCATTTTTATAAGTACATCTCTTACGGCCGGTTCCGAGAACCGGGACGTTTCATATTCATCCGCCGCCGCCGCCGCTGCCGCCGCCGCTGCCGCCGCCGCCGCCGCCGGCTGGCCGGCCGGTCCCCCGGCGGCCTCCTACGGACCGTATTGTCTCCGCCGCTCGGGATGCATGCGCCGCGATTAGGCGGACAACGGCATAATCATTCGCGGTGCTTCGCGGACCGTGATCCTCGCTCGTTAATCGAGCAAACGGGGAATCTGTTCGACGATTCGCCGGGCAGCGTATGTATGCTTTGCGCAGCAAGAAGACAGAGGTAGGCTGTCGGATCGACGCATAAGCGAACCAGCTTTATTAGCCGACCGACGTCTATGCAAATTCCCAACAATGTTCGCGATCATACCTGTACGGTGTTGAATTTTATTGGTATCCCCGCGTCTTGACTTCGCCGCGAACGGATAAGCATCGGCTGTCCGCTGGTTGCACGTAGATTTGTCTTCGAGATAAGGGTGCTTCGTTCGCGCAATAGTGAAAGTTACGCGGATGGATTTTAGTTCGGATATTCGGGGTCGATTTTCTTGGGATCGGTGCGCGAGAACCTTCGGTGCATTTCGCGGCGAGCCGTGTGTAACGCGAACGCGGCGTGAGTCATTCGAGATTGGGCAACCGCGGCCGGTATATATATCGAGAGCTTGATTCTTACGGATTTTGCCTTATCTATTATTCCCGGATAACGAAATAGTCGGCCGGAGTCGACGGATACATTTTACGACGCGTCGAATGCCTTTCAACGGTGCCCATACCTGTTCCACGGTAACAATGGAACAAAGAACCGAACACTGTCTTCGAGATCACTCCCTTTTCCAGAGGCTCCTTTCTTCTCGCCGTTCCAGGGGATGATCGATCAGACGAGCAAGGTGAAGGGGAAGAATGACTAAGAGCCTTCAACAGTTGTTGTTGTTTTTTTTTATAATGATTCGTTTATTGCGAAAGGACACAGTCTGCAAGCCATCTGCCAATGTGGCATCGGCGAGCTCGCGTGAAATTTTGGACACGAATGACTAAAAGGTGATGGCGATCGTTCACTCTCGACATGACATGATATGTTGACGGTCGTTGCGCCCTGCGAGCGTCGCCCGCCTACCTTCCGGGACCCTCGGAGATTTCTTTATTACATAGTACGTCTCTGTATGCTGTGTGTGTGCGTGTGTGTGTGTGTGTGTGCTCACGCGTGTG